GGGGGGGGGGGACTTGCTAAAGCTGAACTACTGAACTTCCAGCTGGCTCCATCCATTCTTTCCCGTAGGTCAGAACATGGTGGTCAGAGGAAACCTGATCTGAAATGGTCAGCCCGGGGGACAGGGTGGGGGGTTCTTGTGGGGGGGACTGAACATAGAGCTCCCCCTGGCAGCCATAAGACCATGTGATCCTCCAGCCAGGTTTAAGGAACGATTGATGGAATGGCGCCGGGGGGAGTGGTGGCGCCGGCTTCCTCCATCTGTTCTTTCCTGTGGGTCAGAAGATGGTGGTCAGAGGAAACCTGATCTGAAACGGCTAAAAGTCCAGCAGAAAAAGCAGCAATCAGACCCCATTGGCTGTGAAAAGCCATCTGATGCTTTTGGATCTGTGGAGGTCTTCCAGTCTTCACAGACTGAAGCGAGTGGTCCAACAGGACTCCATCTGACACACAGAGCTCTGAGCTGCTGCCCCTGTTCACATCTCCTCCCAGAGGGGGGGCAGGCCTCGCTCTCTAGATTCTGGGCCCACAAGGAGTGATGCAAACATCTGTCCAATCAGAGCGCTCCGAGCGTCCCGCTGCTCGTCTGAAGTTTTCCTCCTCATAAACTTCTGTTCCAACTTCCTCAGACAGAGTCAGAAAACAGGATCCATCAGTTTAACAGCAACAAAACAGTTTAAAAACCCCAAAAACTGTTCCAGGACCAGAACCAGGCCAGAAACAGGAAGAGGACCAGCCCCAGAACAAGGCCAAAACCATCAAGAGAACCAGGCCAGAACCAGAACCAGGAAAAGGGCCAGAACCAGACCCAGGTCCCAGAACCTGAAGCTGGACCAGGCCAAAACTAGGCCCAGTTCCAGGACCAGAACCAGGCCAAGGACCAGGCTAGAACTAGCACCTGGACTAGGATCAGAACCAGAAGCATGAAGAGGACCAGACCAGAAACAGGCCAGAACCAGGAAAATGACCACGACCAGGCCCAGAACCATCAAGAGAACCAGGAAGAGCACCAGAACCAGGAAAAGGGCCAGAACCAGAACCTGGACCAGGGAAAAACCAGACCCAGGATCCGAACCAGAACCAGGCAAAGGACCAGAACCAAGGCCCAGAACCAGCACCTGGACCAGGCAAAAACCAGACCAAGGTCCCACAACCAGGCCCAGAACCAGATCCAGAACCTGAACCTGGACCAGGCCAAAACCAGGCCCTGTTTCAGGACCAGAACCAAGCCCAGAAACAGGGCCCAGGACCAGCACCTGGACCAGGATCAGAACCAGCCTGATGGCCCAGAACCATGACAAGGCCAGACCCAGAACCAGGCCCCTCTGGACCTTGTTGGGCTCTGCCCGGCCTGCTAACGGCTCTCTGATGTGAAGCAGGTGTGTTGAAACGGGGAAACCTCTAAAACCTGCAGGACAGCAGCCCAAAGAGGACCAGAGTTTGAGAGTCCTGGTCTAGAGACCCCCCACCTACCTCCATCTGTCAGGATAAGATCCACCAGAATCCTCCTGCTGGGCTCTGCTTTATCTAGCCTTTCTGCTGGAAGGGGCGGGGGGGCTCCACCTCATTTCCTGTCTGGAGCCCCTTAATGACCTCTATATATTTGTCTATACAAATATATAGAAAACAAATACAAATAAAATAATTGTGTAAAATATTCTTTTACAGTTTTCCCCTGCTACTAGAAGAAACATCCACATTTCAAACAAAATCAGTAAAACATATCAGCCTTACAATAGATACTAAGGCAAAGAATCTCCCACAACAGGTAACTATATGGACAGGTATGATACAGAACCTTAGTAAATATAACAAGTGTGGACCAGGGAATCTTCTTCTTTTCTATTATGGCCGATCACAAGCAACTTTAAGGTGCATACGGACCAGGGAATCCTCCACAGCTCTGAAACACTTTCTGCTCTGCTGTCCTCAGGGACTAAGTGGAGACAGGTGTTCCTCATTTCAGGCTAACGAGCTCAGTCAGACTGTGGCCCGCTGGGCTGCAGCTCACTACAACAGGACATTCAGCCTCATCTTTCTCTCTTCCTCTCCCTATAGGCCTGACCCTGAAGAAATAATGGATATGGTGTAGTTAGATTAGTTTACAATGACTGTCACAAAACTCAAACGGAGGCTAGATATCACACGGTTTCATTATATTCCTTACAAAAGCTGTGAATTCCCCTAAAATGACTCCTATGAAATGGTCCTCATATGATGATGTTTATTTCAGACATACCTGGAAACAGGACAGCTTGGGGTTTCTGTAGTTTGTTACTGTGGGACAGAGTGGGCTAATGTTTCCATTCACTT